CACACACACACACACACACACACACACACACACACACACACACACACATTTATTTAATTGCCGAATGAGTAAAAGTTGAACGTATGAACACAGAGCATGCTCACTGATTGATTTTGTCTCCTGTCATGGTGGCAAACATGCAGTGGGAGGGAGGATGAGAACAGTCACGGTGCTCCTTCTTCTTGTTGCGCCGTTGGACAGTGTTCATAGTGTTGTTTACAGTTAATTGCTATGGTGCAGACAGTTGTGGTTTCTGACATGGGCAATATGGGCAACCACCCAGGGCGTTATCTTTTTAGGGATGGCAGGAGACCTCTGTGGATTGTAGCACATAGATGGAAGCAAAGCAGAATGAAGAAGAGTTGGAATTGTTAATGACACTGGTTAAATTTATTTCAGCTTTAAGTATTTAATATCTATGTGTTTTATGGGATTTATGGGATGGGTTTTATGTGGATCTTTCAGATCAATTTGAGAAGCAATTTTGATAAACTTAATTTTATTGCGTCATGTAGCGCGGGGTGCTGGTCTTGGTCTTGACTTGGTCTTGGGTCAGTGGTCTAGACTACAACTCTGCTACTGGCTCCTCGGTTACATGTCCTCCTCCACCCAGCTTCTTTCCATCCCCTTTCTGTTGGATTTCTTTCAAAATAAAAGCCACTAGTGCCAAAACAATGCTATGTTAGGACAGGAGACGAGATGTTTCCATCCCTGAAATTATGATGCATAGAATCAAGTCTAAACTATGTTACAGAGAGTAAACATAATAAAAACATGCTTTATCTGTGGCATTGCTCATTAAATGGGACATTACTGATGTATTAAAATTAAATATGATCAGTTCACTTAATGATATTATATTAGGGATTAGGTAATGCATTCAGCAAGTACTTTTACTTTTAATACTTAAGTATTTTTAAAAGCCAGGACTTTTTTACTTTTACTTAAGTACATTTTTTGAGTTCTTTCTCCACCACTGGAATAAACACGATGACCAAAGTCAGAAACACCGGATGTAGCATAAAGTTTATCCAAGTCATAAAATGGGTAACATTTTATAAAAATAACTGGCTTAAAAGATTCAAAGATGGCGGCCATCTTGAAATCCAAGTGGTTAATGGAAAATATGTGACGACTGAAGATGTTATGATCTAAATGTGAGGAGAGGAAGTCCACCTGGCAACGGAGCAGCTTTTAAATATTAAAGTATTAACGAAACATAAATGATCATTAAATTATGTCAAAACTAAATTTGTAGCAACAAGCGAATAAAAAAATGAAGTTAAACTCATAAAGAATATTGAAACAAAAGTGACTGAATTGCACTGGAAATTTTAGCTTTTCATATTATCCATGAAAAGCTAAAATGTAAAAAATTATTGTAACATTAAATAAAATTAAATATTTTCTGAATAAAAAACTGACTTTACATGTTTTACTGGTGATTAATATTTCCATATTCAGAGGGAAAAGTCTTACAAAACCAACATAAACCACACATTCCACGTGAAATAATAATAATAATAATAATAATAATAATAATAATAATAATAATAATAATAATAATAATAAATACATGAGATTATTTTCATCCATCTAATTAATATTTATTAATTTGCTTCTGAGGTTTAAAAATAATTAACAGACAAAAGTTTGTTTAAAAGAATAAAAGTTATATTTTCATTTCTGTCACAAAGCGTTGGTGAAACTGATTATTGAAATCAAAAGAATCAAATATTTCTAGAACATCTCCAGGGAATTCCAGTTGAATCTGTAGAGAAACTCGAAAAACAAAATAAATATAATTTGTAAACAGTTTTAATTTGTTTTTAATATCTATTTCTGTTCTTTTTTTTGTTTATTCAGCATTTTGTGTTTTTCACTTCAGTTGTGTAATTATTACATTATTTACATTAATTTAAATCTTCATGTTTTTGATTCTCTTGTAATTTAATATAATCTTTTATGGTTTAATTTAATCTGTTTAATCTGAATATTTGTTAATAAATTATTGGCTGGATGAATCGTTGCGATTCTTAAATCCTTTTTGCTCCGGATTATAATCTGGGGAGGTAAAATATTCCCAGATTTACTGGGAATCTGAAAGTTTCCACCATTGATTGAAGATCATCGATTATCGGAGACCTAAAACGGCTGCAGCAGGCCGCTGCTGCCCCCTGCTGGCTTCGCTGAAAACGACACCAGAGTAAAATTAAAACATTTCAAATAAAAATCAGGAAATTTGAGAATTTCCCCTAAAATTAAATCTGAATATTTTATCAGCAAAAAAATGTAGAAAATTAATTTCCAACCAGTGGTTGGAGATTTTTAAAATTTGTTTCTTTAAATTAATACAATTTTTTTGAAATAATTTTCAAATATAAAACTGAATTATTTTAGACTAAACCAGAAAAAAATTTAATCTGCAGAAAAATAAAACAGAATTTATTGTTTCACTCAGGATGTATTTCCTGCTTCCGTCCTTTAACTAGGCCTCCTGAATGTTTAATAATCAATAATTATGATTATTATTAATATCGTCAGAAGCGGGTCAGATCAAAGCCCGCCGCTGGGGTCTGACCTTTGACCCGCGGGAACCAGAAAGACTCGGAGCGGAAAAACACAAACAGTCCGGAACCAGAACCGGATCGGAACAACTGGACCGGCTGCCGGGCGGGAAGGTTCTGGATCCTGCCGCTTCCCGCCCTTCCTCAGCGAGGTGTCGGTTCCGATTGGACCGGTTCTGTAAGAGTTCAGGTGACACCGCAGTTCGAGTTGAAGCAGACCGGTTCTGGTACCGAACTGGACCTGCAGCAGGAAGTCTCCTGGTTTCTGGATCCGAACTTCTCCTCCGGTTCCGTCACCAGAACCGAAAGGCTCATCTGGGTCGGAGCCGAACAGCAGCTTTTTCTGGATCTTGTTTTAGTTTTTCCGCTCTGAACTGGACCGAACCGTTTGTGTTTCAGAAGAACCAGTCAGAACCGAGTCAGAATCTTCCTCACATTTATTCAGAACCACAAACAATAAATAAACTGAACACGGAAAGAGAACAAACCGAACCGGGCCCCGGAGCGGACCCAAACAGTCAGAGCGGAAAGTTCGGTCCGGTTGGGCTCAGGTCCAGCTCCAGGGATAGAGGAGCGGCGTCGGTCCGGTCCGGTCCGGCCCACAGGCGGCGCGCAGCAGCGGGGAGAAGGCGCACAGCGGCAGGGCGAACCCGGACCGAACCTCCAGCGGTACGGACGGCTTCCCGTCCCGAACCAGCAGCGGGATCGCGATGCGGCGCGCCGGAAGCGGCGGCAGCGCCTCATGGCCGCGCTCCGCGTGCGCGCGCTTCATCTTGTATCGGTGGTTCTGGAACCAGATCTTGACCTGGTTCGGGGTGAGCTGGATCCGGCCCGCAAGGTGCTCCCGCTCCGGAACCGACAGGTACCGCTGCTGTCGGAACCGGCGCTCCAGCTCCGAGGTCTGCGCCTTGGAGAACAGAACCCGCCTCTTCCGGTTCTTCTGGGCCGAACCGAGAGCCGCAGCGCCGGGATGCTCACCGGGTCGGCCGGTTCCGGACTCTGAGGCGGGAAGGAAAATAACTTTTATTACTGTCAGAGACCCGGTTCAGCAGTCCGGACCGGAATCACACCAGAACCATAAAAGTTACCGATAAAAGTTTGGATCAGGTTCCGGTTGGGCTAAAACCATGAAGACCTGAACCGAACTCAAAACAGGTTCTGTTTCCGCTCCTGATGAAGATGAAAGAGTTCTGACCTGCTGCTCGGCTCCGCCTGCTCCAACACTTCGGTTCTGGGTCCGGTTCCGGTTCCGGCTCCTCCCTGGAGCTCTCCTCCTCGGTTCCGGACCCGGATCCTCCAGTGGGGTTCGGAAGGTCCAGAAGATCCCGCACTGAGAATCCGGTTCTCCCTCTGGAGCCGGACGGCATGGCGCAGGCGCAGAAGGAACTGGTCCGAGTTCGGTTCGGGTTCGGGTCCAGTTCGGGTTGTTAGAGAGCAGCGGAACTCCGCGCGGTTCGGTCCATGAAGGATTCGGCGTTCGGGTCGGACTGAGTCGCTGCGGCGCCGCGGCGCTTTAAGAGGGAGGAAGAGGAGGAGGAGGAAGGTCACATCATCATCATCATCATCATCATCATGTCAGGCTGGAGGCCGAACTGGTCCGCTTCTTATCTGGACCGGGGTAACCGGGAGGAATGTTCGGTTCGGTTCTGATGAATATTCAGGGTCAGAGCAACAGGAAGCCGTGCAGAACCGGATCAGAACCGTTCAGAGAGACAGTACAGTTCAACCTGTCACGCCTGGTGGTGACAGCATCATGCTGGGGGAGCCGAACCTGGGGTCAAAGTTCAGCTTCCAGCAGGAGGACAGGACGAGATCAGAGTTGGTGGCCTAGTCAAAGTCTAGAGCTGAGGTAATCAGAACGCAGACCAGGTTCTGCAGAGTTCTGATTCTTATTTAAAAAAAAAAAAAAAAAACACTCCGCACTTTTCAGATTTTACCTGTAAAAATGATGGAAACCACTTCCTGGTTCTGATCCACTTCCGGTCTGATGAAAAGTTCAAAGGGTGTGAATACTTTTTAGAGGTTCCGTTCCAGTGAGTGCTGCTGACGTCACGACACGGTCCGATTGGTTCTGAAGGTCTAAATATTATTATTATTATTAATATTAATATTAATCTTCTTCATGAGGTTTGAATCTCGTCGTTTCTTTGCTATAATTTAAGTTATAAAGTTATCAGGATGTGTGTGTGTGTGTCTAGGTGTGTAGGTGTGTGTGTGTAGGTGTGTGTGTTTGCTCCAGTTTTTCTTTTTGCGAAAAGAAATAAAACCATGAGGATTTAGGTCAATATCTGAATTTGGTCCCATTTATTATGAAATAAATAAAATAAAATAAAACAGTTATAAAACTGCAGCTGAAGATAATTATAAGATTTGATTCAGTTTGTTTTATTTTTACTCTAATTAGAAATAAAAATTCTTCAAACTGCATCAGATTCGCGTGTTTTCTGAATTGGGGTCGGACCGTAAAGTGAGGTCACTGGGGGTCAATTGGAGGTTCGGGGGGCATCCTGCTGGGGGTCAAAGGTCAGAGAGAACTTAGTGTTTGATAAATCATCGATCATCTTCTGTCGGTCTGGATTAAATTATTAAATTATTTATTTATTGATTTATTCTGGTTCTCTCAGTCTCTGCCGGTCATCTGTTAGCGCGCAGCGTCCCCTGCTGTCTGAAGGAGGAACTGCAGCTAGCTCGGTTCATTCATGTTCATATTATTATTATTATTATTATTATTATTATTATTATTATTATTATTGTTATTATTATTATTATTATTATTATTATTATTATTATTATTATTAACTAAACCTTCAGCCTGGACACCTGAGGGTTGTGGGTTTGAATCCCAGTTGGTCTGAAGGATCAGCGGGATCACAGATGATCTACTGCTGGAATATGAGAAAAACAAATTACCCAAATAACCCCCCCTTCCCCCCAGATCAATTAAGACAAAAGGAGCAAGAAAAAACGGAGTGAATGAGACAAAACTGTTTTTGTTTTACCTGTAAAACATTTGTGTAGGTTAACCAATCAGATGATTTCATTATTTATGATTTTACCTTTTCATTAATGACTGAAACTTTTAATTAATGTTTCTTATATTTTGTATTCATTACAATTTATTGAAAGTGTCACATTTATGTTAATTATTTCTTGAATGGATAACTCAGCCGGACTGGGAAGATTTGACTTTATGATATTAAATTTTTTATAATACTTTATTATATTCCGGTGTTAATTTTACAGGAAGCTGAAAAAAAGGTGAAAAAAAAATGTTTTTTTTTCTCTGAAATGAAAAGTTCTGAGTTTCAAACTGGGAAACCGGAGAACTGGGAATAAATCCTGTTTGGACTCTGAAGGTTCTGGTTCTGGTCCAGGAGTAACAGAACCAGCAGCAGCTTCACACATAAAGAGGTTTTATTAGAATAAATCATAAACAAAACAAAGTCGGGCTTTGCAGAAATCCCAAAGTTTATTGAAGTAATTAAATGGACATTAATTCGTTTATGAGTCTCATTAACTCCTGCAGTTTGTAACGTTAGTCATATTCATTCATTTATAGCTGCCATATAAATGTCACAGGAAATTATTTCTGTGTCTATTTCATTTCTTCGTTTTTTATTGCTTATATTTTAAATACCATTTTATTTGTTTCTATCTATCAGTCAGAATTTTTTTTTGAGGTTTTGTGGCTCTAGTGGCCTTTTGACAGGCCACCACAGCATCAGTCAGAATTTTGATAAAATTCTTGAAGTCACAATAGTTTTTACGTTTGAAAAACTTGATATTTTATAACTATTTTAGAGCAAATTTTTTATCAAACAATATAATGTTTGAATATTGTATTTAGTTTCGTTTTTACTTATTTATTAAAAGATCTGATCTTTGGATCGGTTTGTTGTTTGCAGCCTCTATGAAGACTCTGATAATAAAAACTGTTGTTATTATTATTATTATTATTATTATTATTATTATTATTCCGGCCGGATTCCCTCCCCGGACCCTCCGCTCTGCTCCGGCCGCAGTAGAGCCTCTAACCTCGGGCACTAAGTAGGACAAGCCGCCGCTCCAATCCGCAGGCCCTGGCCCGTCCATCCGAACCGGTTCCGTCTGAGCGGAACTTCCTGCCGATCAGCGAGCAGCTGCCAGGGCCGCAGTGTTATTTTGGTTTAACATTTAAAAATGTTTTTGTCTTTATTATTTAGTTTACCTGTAACCTGACCATGGCCAGCTGGTGGCAGTAATGAGGCTTGAAGAGGGCTTTTGGCGCTTCTCGGCTTCCGTTCAGTGGATCTAGACGTCCTGTTGTGGTCTTCTGGTTATTTTGTTCTGTTTAACCTTTTTCTGACTCGGTTCGGTTCTTTTGGATCGCTGCTGCTGCTTTCTGACCCGCCTAGCAGAAGGAAGGTGAGTGAAATTTGATATAAAGACAAAGGTTTAGCTAAAACGTGGCGTCTTACGAAGCAGAACTGTTGATTTTTTTATATTTAATAAATAACCTTTTCTAGTTGTTTTTATCAAATGTTATTTTTTTACAGTTTAAAAACCTTTAAAACAAAATGTAAGAAACAAACGTATAAAAATGCATAAAAATAAGCGAATAAATATAATGACAACTTGCAAAATATTTTATACGAATAACACCTTGAAAATGACAGAAAGTACATGGAGTTTATTAAACAGTTTAATAAAAAACCAAACGAAGAAACAATAATTACCCGCAATATTTTAAAATGAGAACTGTATGAAAGATACCAAATTACCAAATAGATTCAATACAATATTATTTTTAAATAAATTATTTAAACACGCAGAAATCGAACTTTTAGATTTTATTGAAATGATTGAGAGGCTTCATGTTTCTCATAACAGTGGAAGAGCTTTATGACACTGTTGGACACCAGCCAAGGAAGGGCTATTAATCCCACAATGCACCGCATTAAGTCCTGCAGGAAGAGGAGGAGTTTCAAGGAAACTCTATGACGTCATGGAAGTTTATATAAGGGGACTGTGACCAAGTTTAACCGATGTTGTTTGAACCAGAGCTAAGCACCAACTTTCGAGCCATGCTAACCACGCGTAGCTTTGTTAATGTTATATAAACAGAGCTGAGATGAGATTTACAAGGGCCAATAGCCCTAAGCTAGCTCACCTGGACCAAACGGCTAGCCTAAAAGCTAATGACGACGAGACATTGCAAGTGTTTCTTACTGTTCCCGACAACTGCTAGCCCTTCTTGTTTTCCATTGGAATGCTGTTCACAGTATGTGTGGTACCCGGATGAACATCTTATGTGTGTTATGGTGTTTGAAACTGGATCCAAACTGAGAAGGCCGCGCGTGCTATAAAAGAACCACAGTGAGCGGCTCGTTTAATCTTCAGGGAGTGTTTGTCTTTTCCTTTGTTTCATGCCACTAGGTTTCATAAAATAGCCTCAAGATTTGCTTAAATGTCTGGTTGTCTTGAAGGCTAACGCTAGATAGCTAAGTGCGCTACGTGTTATATTTGGCTTTCCTATCAAATAGCTAGCTGTCAAACGGTTAGCATTAGCTGTTTGCATTACTTACTGTGAGGGTTTCCCCAGTAAACCTGTCAGCCCGGCGGTCGATCATCACCAGTGAAACGATATTTAAACCCACAAATATAAAGTACTAAAAACAAAACAAAAAAATAAATATAAATTATTTGCATCTCCGTTTAACTCAAATTTTGCTTATTGAGATTATCATTGGTGCTAAATTTGATTTAATTGTTCCAGCATACATAAATTAAGAGATTTTAAATTGTTTAACATTTAAATTTAAGATTTTAAGGAGCTGGCGTGTTTATCTTCTGGACTGCTTTGTTACCATAGCAACACTCTGATACTGTGAGTTAAATCTTTGAGTTTGAGCTGTTTGTTCCCAAATATAAATTAGTAATCTGGATTATAACTGACTGTTTTTCGGTTGGCCAGTTAAACTCCTCCTCCTCTCCCAGATTAAATCCAACTCAGAAGCTGTTAGAGGTGCTGATGGGGCCCCTCAGTCAGATTCTGCCCCAGGCCTCATGCAGCCTTGGACCGGCCCTGCAGGATGAGTTAATCTACTGCACTGCTCATCTCTGCTGAATACAGAGGGACAAACAGGAGATTGAATTTATGTGGCTCTAGCAGCTCTAACATTTCTGTCTGTTGAGTTTTAATAAGAATCACAGAAACTGTTTTGGTTGCTCAAGTTTATGGGACGAGTTTTCCTGATGTCCTCGCTCATTAACTCTAGCTAAGTGGACAAAGCATTTGGTATGGTTNGATGNATCGTGTAGCCGGAAAAATAATGATAAAACAAAATAAAACCACTGTGATGCGTGACTACGAGGTCAGCGCGAAAACTCCACAAGTTAAACCGCTAACGCTGCGGCCAACCGGGACACAGCGCCACACGGTGGACAGCGAGTTGAGATGTAAACGCTGCACATAATGTTTTGTTCCCAAATATAAATCATTCTCAACGCTCCTCTGAAAGCGACGACAAGTTATTCCTGCGGTTCACATGGAGCTGCTCAACCAGAGCTAACGCAGCGGGTTTAAACTCTTACCTTGATGTGGAGTTCTCTAAAGAATCATAATCCCTCACAGTGGCTGATGTAAATATCTGGTCAGTCTGTGTCCAGTTTGAGTGAAAGGAGGCGATCTGTGCCGAGTTAAACTTCAGACATCCAGCTGCTCCAGCGTGTGATTGGTCCGCTCTGCCCGCTTTCAGTGCATCAACTATAAA